ATATACAGGGACGTTATTAGTAGATGGTTCATTGGTGGCCTGATTGGCAGGGGTGGACTGGGGCAAAAAAGTCGCCCTGGACTTTCTGGCACAAAGCAGCCCATCACACCCGGTCCGCAACACACCTCACCATAAACCCACCAGCTCATTATGCACAGAGCAATTTTTAACACCACTAACTAACAAAAAATATAAATGCTATTTATTTTTTTATTGAAATGCTTATCATTAACATTAACGAATGACTGCCATACTTCTTTACATTATAATTAGTCTTTCCTGGTGCACATCTCTTTTCCATACAGGGACAGTTGAATATCACGTAAAGTTCAATACCTACCATAAAATCAGGCCATATAACACAATGCTCTGGTATGGTCTAGAAGACTAGTACAGAATGTGGACTGTTTTTGTGGTGCCTTTCTTGTGGTTATAGTATTTGTCCTTTCAGGAGTTTGACATCTTGTTTCTTGTCATGTTATGCAATAGAGCTCCAATTGTGGAAAACGAGTGTAAAAATTCTTATATTTATGAAAAAATACAGCATATTAGAATGATTTCTGAAGGAGTAATGATGCTGAAAATTCAGCTTTGATCACAGAAATAATAAATTACATTGAACAATATATTCACATAGAATGCAGCTATTTGAGATTGTATTAATTTTTCATAATATTTGTGTTTTTACTGTATTTTTTTAATAAATAAATTGAGCCGCCTGCTTTCAAAAACATTAAAAAAGTCTTCATTATTTCAAACTTTAATTCGCCAGTGTGTATATAAAATAATGCATGTGAACTAATTAGCTAATTATATTTTAATATATGATACTTTCCTAACATGGGGCATAGGCTACTTGAATATGAAAGTTGGCAGTTTTACCATGTTTTAGTGTAAGTTTGAGAATTATATTTTGAGTTTTATGAATCATTTTCAAATGACTGTGAAATGACTGAATAAAGCCTGGAAACAGATACACAAACATTCACTCTTATCTGTTATGCTAAAAACTGCTACGTTATTATTTCTTTGTGCATTGTGTGATGAATAATGTAAATGGCATTCAAATCTGAGAAATTCAAAAGGTTAGAAGTAGTTTGCATCCCCTGAAATTACTATCCGTCATTAATGTCGTTTTACTGTCAACAGTCGCCAAATATTGCTGTGTCGTCTCATCATGTTCAGATGCTTTTCTTACCTCGGCTTGCATTTTTCAAGCATTAAAAGTGCCGTGCTGCTCGGTTTCTGTGGACAGTAAACCCCGCCTCCTTCGATTTGGATATCTCAAACATTTTGACATTGACGAGCGCTTTTAGACTGCTGCACTGAGACTGAGCTCGCTAAGCAGATTAGAGTTGTTGCCTCAAGTGGGCAACGCGGACCATTCGTCTGGGCTGACAGAAGGATATAGGCTACGTAACTGAGCTAGAATTCATTCTTTATATATATATATATTACATAGTCACGAGCCAGTCCACATTGTCCGGTGGCCCGGGGCCCGGTGCTCCAGATGGCCAGTCTGATTGGTATGAATGTGCCTCACCTTTTATTCCCTTCTGTGGTAGTATCTGCAATCTCACTCTCTGCAGAGGCTCCTCGACCAGTAGGGATCACAGCGAGGCCTGAATACATATAAACAACCCCCTTTTAATGCGTTTATGTTACCCTGTATCTTTGAAATCGTCCCATACAAGTGAGATAGGGTACCAAAAATTTTGAGTCCAGTTTAGAGTCCAGCACTAAATAAAAGACTGGGCATTTTTGTCCAGACCCCACTCACTGACTCACCTGACACTGAGAGAGTGGCCTGATTGGACTGTGGTTCCCCCGTATCTCCGATATTGTCCAATAAATTGGATTTGATGTAAGTGGAAAAGGGTTCTGATGGAGAGCTCACTGCCCCGGTCAGTGGGTTACACTGCTCATCAACATGAGGGAAACTGCCTGTGGTCTTCAGCTCTTCAAACCTCTGTGCACACTACAAAAATATAAGATAAGCTGAACATCTCCAAACATATGCTAATGAAACTTCTGGATCTTTGTATGGAAGGTGTAGGTATTAACCTCTCATTTGTATGTACTGTGTTTGACAGCATTCTGTGATGGGAAATATTATTATTATTACCGGTATTATAATATTTAATATTTTATTATAGGGTCATTCCATGTCAAATCCACCAAATTTCGGAAACTTCAGAAAAAATAATAATATTTTGTTAACTTTTTTTCTGAAGAAACACAAACATAAACAAGTGATGAAAGCCAAAATATTAAATAGTAATCCACTATTTTGTAGAGGGGGGTCAAAATGAAAATTTTCACATGAGATTTGGAGCCAAATTACAGGGGGGTAAAAATGACTTTAAAAAGATGGCAGCATCATCATTTCATTTTTTTCAGATTGGTAGGTCTGCTAGTTAAATCTGTTGACTTTAGCAATCTTTGTTTCATTATATGCCAACGGTGACAGTTCAAAAATGGGGAAAAGCACTTCTTGTGTTTTTTTTTTGTGTACTCATGGAGCTGCATTAAGATCGCCATATCTCTGGGATTGGACCATTGAGGGCCTTTAAAATGAAGATACCAAAAGAAATGTTTGTTAAAACAAATCTAGAATTCTTGAGTTACAGACATCCAAACTGTTGTACAGACATGCTTTTTCCCATCTTTGAACTGTCGCCGTTTCTATATTCTATACAAAGATTGCTAAACTAACAGACCAACCAATCTCTGTGTAAAAATAAAATGATGATGCTGCCATCTTTCTAAAGTCATTTTTACCTTAATACACTATTTTTTACACTAACTTTAGTGAAAAAAAATGTTAGTTGGGATACAAAGAATGCCACAACTACCTACATATCTTGTAAATATCTATATAAATAATTTTCACACAACGAACAAATATGGAAATGATTTATGTTTTGTTCTTATTCTTTTTTTAGAATATCATTGTTTTAAAAAGCAATTATTCATAGGAATATAGTTTATTATATACGAATATCGTTTATATTATTTAGTTTAATATAAGAATATAGTTTTATAATATAACCTTATGATTTAAGAATATAGTTTTTATAGTTTATTGCACAGCAAATACAGTTATATTCTAGAGGCCTCGTGTCTCTTACCTCTTTAGGTGTGAACCCTGGCACCAACTTGGCAACATTCTCCCAGTTGATTGGCTGAGGCGATGCCCATAACGAGCTCAGCACTATGTCCAGCACCAGGAGGTTGTTGTCATATGGAAAGTTATTATTAACAGAGCAAAGACGATTCATTTCTGCGGAGAAGGAGGAAAATTATCATCTATAGTCTAGATTTTAACATTAACATTGGCAATTAAGCCATCTACTAGCTCTCTATTGTCCCTTTGTATTGATCTCCACTCCAGAGAAACAAGGGACAATTTGATGGAATGACACTGACAGCTGTTTGATATTTGGTAATGTAAGATTATGAGCACAGATACAACAAACACTAACGGTGCAAAGGAAATATAACTTATGCAGATGAGTATGTTAGGTGTGTGGAGCTGTAAAGATGCTTAGACAGCATAATAAATACCAGATCGTGACACTCCCCACGTTTCGTGTCGCATCGCTCAGTGAAATGCTAAGCTAGCCTAACACACAATCACATTTACCCTGTTCCAGGTTTATGCGCTGTTTCCTCAGGTAGCAATGCTCTTCTTTCATTCCAGCTGAGCGGTGCTGATAACGGGCTGGATTTGAGTAACATCAACAGAGATGCTGTGGTTTACTTTGATTTTATCCGGGTAAACCAGTAAAGTCCACATCCACACAGCATATACAAATAATAATAAAAACAAATGGTCAGCGTGAAATTCGCAGATTTATTGGGCATGACTACCCACGTTCGTATCTCTCTCTCCTCTTGTTAAAATGCCAGAGATGATGCTGCGTGCACGCGCAGCGCTCTGAGTGCGTGTGCCATGATGATGCTCTCGTCTAGCTGCAGTGTCCCCGGTTGAGCGCCTCCTCTCTCTGCTGTCCGTCCGTCTGTCTACTGCGATTTGACTGGATGCCAAAGCTCACTGACCCGTCCCTGATAACGAGAACTGAGAAAAACGATTGAAGGCAGCCCGTGGCAGAGGATTAACTCCTCTTAACATCCCCTGCGCTGCTGCTGTGTTGTGCCCCTGTGTTTCCGGTGCCGCAGTGCAGCAGGTGCGCGCCGGCGTCCCCGTTGCCAGGCGACAGCCCCAACATTCTATTTGATTGATGGGGTTCTGTTTTTAATATGGGGCCCAGAGAAACACAAATTCATTTACTCTCTATAATCAAGTCAGTTAGATTGCTGAAAGAAATGTAGCAGTGTAGATGTTCTGACTGACTAAAGACTTATTTTTAGACAGAAAGAGATGAGGTTCTAAATCGAGGTCTAAATTATTGTGCAATACAGTCTCCTGATTTAATAACCATAGTGTGCAGCCATGGATTTAACTTGTATACACTACCATTCGAAAGTTTGGGGTTAGTATATTTTCTTTAATTAATACTTTTACTCAGCATGGACATATTGAATTGATCAAAACAAAAGTGACATTAAAGACATTTATTATGTTGCACTTGCATTAGGATGTTATGATTTCTTTTTAACATAAATTCTGTTCTTTTGAACTTTCATCAAATTCTGAAAAAAATATTAAGTAGCACAACTGTTTTCATCATTGATAATAATAAGAAATGTTTCTTGAGCAGCAAATCAGCATATTAGAATAATTTCTGAAGGATCATGTGACACTGAAGACTGACTTAATGATGCTGAAAATTCAGTTTTGCCATCACAGGAATAAATTACTTAAAAAATATTCAAATAGAATTCAGTTGTTTTAAATTGTAATATTTCACAATATTACTGTTTTTACTGTATTTCTGTACAAGTAAATGCAGCTTGGTGAGCATAAGAGACTCATTTACAACACATCTAAAAATGACCAACCCCATACTTTTGAACGGTAGAGAAACTGATTGTGTATTGTGTAACACATTTTTATTAATTTCCAAATTCAATTTCTTAACCAGCTGAATGTCAATCAGTAATTCTGTAATCTTAGAAATGTTGGAACTATTATACAACTGAAAATTACAGGATATAATTATTTTTTAAGTATTTACTGGCAAAATAATTGCTTGTATTTACATAATTGCACATTGAGTAGCAGTATGAGAAAACAAACAAGCCTGAAAACACACAGAAATGCACAAACTAATCCTTGAGACAACAGCTTAAAAAGAAAATATTAAATATTCACAACATTGAAGAAAGATGAACAGCAATCTAAAACTCTCACATTGGAGAGTGAGAGAATTCCCATAATGAAATTCACAAGAAACACTATTACAAATTTAGATTGATATAAGAACTCATAATTTAAACTAATCAGATGCATTAAATGTGTATACATGAATGACAACATATTTGTAACATTTTATGCTTAAAGCAAGCATATCATTACAAATTGTATCCATTATTCTTCTAAATAAATTAATGGGTTTTATTAACACAAACTTACAAACTGTAATGTTGAAATATCCACCATTTGTTATAGGAAAAAAAAACATTAGTAATGGCTTTGAGCCTAACAGTCTACTGAAATTTGTGAAATTATGCAGTTCAAATGATACATTATAAAGGTATAAGACTATTCACCTCCCTTTCAATACCTTCATTTTTCATTTGTTCCTCTCCTTTTTTTAGCTGTTGGACCAATTTATATAGAGGGTGATACATTCTAATGAAGGATACACTTTTTCTCTTAGCTCCCACCAACACAAACACACACACACACACGCACTATTCATAAGTCCATCTTTTCTGAGGTGATCACTACAGTATCACTGCTAATGTTTGTGGAAGGTTGCACCTCCAGGGCAGCATGAAGGCCTTGTGTCTCTCCGTAAACAGACTCCAGCAGATCATCTGGATGTGACGTGGTAGGGACAGCCAGCCTGGAGTTGGGAAGAGAAACTGTAGCCAGGGCAATTTGAGGTGCTGGAAGGTTCTGTGCCACATGCTGGGCCTGTGCCATCCTCTCTAATTCTACATGCTTTCTGCCTCTCCTCCGACCCAACACTTTAACGTAGTTGGCAGGGACGAGGCCAGTGATCTGCCCATCCACACTGGCTAACAGCCAGCCACGCACCCTGGGCTGTTGTTCTGCAAATAAGAGTGAAATACATTGAGTACAAGCTGTAAGACAATGCCTAGAACAAAATGTACATGGTACAAAGTGTATATGCTTGACATCAGTCAAATTTAAAACATTACATTGTTGATGAGTTGCTGTGCAAAAAGGATGTGTTTTATTTAAATGTTCCCATTGGATTATCTAGACAGTGTGTTTGCGTGTGTTAAAGTGCACTTCTGTTCAGATTATGTTAAGAATGTGTCTTGTTCTTGTTCTTACCTTTAGGGGCAAGATTAAGCATGTCTCCAGCCTGTAGAGAGATCTCTTCCTCAGACGAAGCTGTGAAGTCATACTCAGCTCGTGCTACTACATGGTCATCCTCCCCACTTGCCCAGTTAGTGGCTGAAAAACAGAACATAACTTATATTAAGCACAAACATATAGACACGACTACATATAAAGCTACATTTTCAGACACATACCAAAAAAAAAAAAAACTACATACAAACATGTTTGAGGGCTAAACAATAAAGGCTGCCTGACAGCCTGGGCCCAGCATGAAAGACAGTTGTCAGTTTTGTACCCTTAATAACATTTTATCTATATTTAATTTATGCATTTTTCATAATTTACTCATTTATTACGTTTTTGTGGCAGGGCCAGTGATTATTTTGAATGGGCCAGTAAATGTTTTGAAGGAGTTACACCACACTCACGATCTTCAAGGTGCCAGACACACAAGACTAAGGATCTCAATAAATAAACTGTCCGCACACTCAAATCCTTAAAGCAAATTTAATAGACCAAGCTTTCGGTCAAAAGACCATCCTCAGGGCATACAAACAACAAATGTAACAATCAATTTAACTGTGTTCAAACACATCAGGACAATCAACAATGATTACCAACACCTGTGAAAGCCAGGTAGGAGAGTTGTAGTCCAATAGTGGGAGTTGTAGTTTTTCTTAAACCTACCAAATATACTTACCAAATATACTACACAGTTTATCTAGGTAATTTACACATTTACTCCCCATAGTGAAAATCCCCAATACAAGAAACAAACATAAGCATAAACAAAAATTATACAAAAATACAGGCGCATATATATATATATACATATATACATACATACATACATACTTGCTGCATAAGTGCATGGAGACTGCAAGACTGGGCCAGTAAAAAAATCCTTATTGTTGAGCCGTGCATTTACTGTAGAGCAGCAACTATTTTTATAGGGTGCTGATGTACAGGGCTTCTGAATGACACAGTGATAAAATGACTCAGTCCTGCAACAAATTCAGTGACCAGTCTCAGCCTAACTGAGAAGTGTATAAGTTTCTTTCAGTGATGTTGACAATACACTGTCACTTTTTTGACCGATTTATTGCATCCTTTCTGAATAAAAGTATTCATTTATTGGTAACACTTTACAATAAGGTTTCATTAGTTAAAATTAGTTAACCTCTTTATTTAACAAACTAAGAATGAACAATACTTCTACAGCATTTATTAATCTTAGTTGATGTTAATTTAGCATTTACTAATACATTATTAAAATGAAATGTTGTATTTGTTAACAATAGTTAATACACTGTGAACTAACAAACAATGAACAGCTGGATTTTTATTAACTAACATTAACGACGATTAATATATACTGTAACAAATGTATTGCTCATTGTTCGCTCATGTTAGTTACTACATTAACTAATGTTAACAAATGAGACCTTAAAGTGTCCCTATTATGGTTTTTCGAATATTCACTTTCATCCAGTGTGTAATATAGCTGTTTGTGAATATTATAAACGATCTGCAAAGTTGTAGAGTCGAAAGTGCGCCATAAATTATTGAAGTTATTGTCACCAAAGAGAAAGATTCATCTCAGAACCGCCTAAACAAGTCGTTTGTAATTCGAATCCCACTGCGTGACGGTTCTACGTCACTAGAAAATACATTTACATAATGCCCGCGGGTGTTCAAAATACATAGCTTTGTGTTTTAAATTGTGAAAGTTTCTGGCTAACCAGCTAATATGCGTTATTACTGTCTTACTGAAATACTTTTGCTAAGTCGGCCTAGCTGTGGGCCACTATTACCTAAAACTGTGTATTAATGCAGATGTCTGTTGTTCTTTAGCCTGGCTAACGTCAGACCACGTCTCAATCTGGGAACCACATGTTCATTTTCTCATATTTGAGGCGTGGTTTACGAATGCCCAGAGCCGTTTATTGGGTGCTACGAATGTCTATCAAATGCGCCTGTACGTAGCTCATAGCCAATCGTTTCAATTATACCAGATGACGTATGTAGAGCGAAAGAATTAGACGAGGAAGAAGACGATGGGTCAGAGATTTATTTGCGTTCTAAACTACTTAGAACACTATCTAAGGCTGCATCGAAAGGTAACTTCGCGTCTGCTGCCATGTTGGGTCCATAGGTATAAACAAACTGCTTCAGTGTGTCGCATAGACGTCGTCATCGTCTTGCTGCATCCTCCCCGTTCTGTGATTGGTCCCCTCGCTGAGGCGAAAATCTGGTTCATGGTATCATGAAAAAATCGCGCTGCGCAAAGGCAGTATGGGGAAACCCAGGCTAGTTGTTCTTACTACTTTGAGTAAAGATAAAGGATGGAACAAGATTTGTTTAGCAAACTTTAATGTTACATCAGTCATTCACGTTAGTGCTCGGCTAACGTATGCACCGTTATTGATACAGTTAATACAGTTCCTGCATGTGCACCGCAAAATATAAATATACACATCGGTTTGTGGAGGAACATACACTTGTTAATGCTGATGGTGAGGAATTATAGTTGAAACATCTCATAATGTACATCAAAATGAGTAGCATATCACTGAGAAACGTCCTGATCAAGTCGTTTTTGCGATGGAGGTTCGGGTTGAATAACTAGTTCTTCCAATGTTTCATCATCGATCTTGCGCTCGGATTTATTTGGTAAAATAGACGTCATAGTTACCGTCTTTACAGGGTGTACAATCGCTGAGCTTTAGGAAGCCTTCGGACGGAACTGAAGTTCAGTTATGGTAATGGTCATTTAGCTTCCGAATACGCTGTATGCGGTAGACCAATCACAACAGACTGGGGCATCTGGCCAATCAGAGCATAGCAGGCTCTCGGAAAGGAGGGATTTTAGAGAGACTGATTCATCCGCCAAGTCGTTTTAGAATCATTGAAAAATGTGGTGATGTGCAATGTATATTACGAGAAAATGAAGCTGCCTTTAAAATAGCATAATAGAGGCACTTCAAGTGTTACCAATTTATTTAAAAAAAAATGTTTTTGAACAGTAGTGTAAATCATTCTCATTAACACTCCCATGGTCCTACATTAAAGCCAAAATAGAAACGGAAGTGATAGATATTGAATAATACCGGACTCATGTCAGACCAATAAATAGTGAGAAGAGTGGGTGAGGTTTAAGACTGGAATGAGAACAGACAGAATATGAAGGGAATGTCTCACCATTTTCTTCAGGACCCTCGGCAGACCTCAAAAGCCTCCAGATCAAATACGGCCCTCCAAGAACGACAGCAAAAAACAAGAAAATGGGCCATGATTTGACAGAATTCACTCTGGGGTCATCAATCCCTGCACCTCTGGTTCCTGAAGCAGACACCACAGAGGAGGCTGCACTGTCAGCCCACAAATCGTCCACCTCTGAATCCCGACGCAATCCCAGCAGCCTCTGCAGCCTGCGATATAGGTATCTAAGGGTCCTAACTAGGGCGAAAGCAGACAGCACTTTTGTGAAATGTATGCGTAAGCGGGAGAAGTGATTGGCCACATCCAGAACAGCGCGAAAGCTGTTATAGACAGCAGAGAAAGTAGCGTCCATCATCATGCTGACCGACGAGAAGGCGTGGACAATGCTCTCAATGGACTGAAACGCTCCGCGGCTGCTCTCCTCCGCCTGCTGGACAAAACGGCTGGGTGGGACGTCGTCCCCTAAGTTATAACGGTTATAACCCAGGCCACCTCCAACTCCATAACCACTGTAGCTGTAGGGGCTGTAACCCCCCCCATACATGGAGCTCCCATAAGGGCTATATGAGGAGGGCAATGAGCTGTATGTAGGGCGGTATGCCTGTTGGACGGATCTTGGAGGGATGGGTGGTGCCACACGTGTTAGAAGTGGAGGACCAGACATTGATGGCCCACTATGTGATGCTGATCCAAAGTCAGTAGAGCTAGATATAAGAAAATAAAAACATTCAAAAGAAATGGCATATCTATAGAAAAGCAATAATAATAAAACATAGTTGAAAGTTGTCAAATATTCTCTATTTAAAAGTAAAAGACTGAACACGGTATGTGTGAACTTTGACACTCACATGCAAACACTTATTGACATGCTTGAGTACGAGCCAAACATTAAGTTTACGTAACTTAACAACAAAAGTATAACTGTCAATGTAACCATACAGAACAATTTATCAGAATCACTGTAACACCAAACTTATGCACATACTTATTATTTTTACAACAAAAATACCACTACGTCAAATATAGATTTTATATTTGCTTGAGAGCTAATAGGTTTGCTAGCGTTCCAACACTCCGTCTTTTGGACATGCTGGCCTAAATAAGACGAGTTATTACGAACCGATAGTTTAATGGTCCAGTTATGGTTCCAGGGATTCGCCTTTCCCATGGTTTTGGTGGAGGCTGTGCCATTATTTAATATTTTACACCAAAAGTCGAGCAGCACAATAAACGTCAGGAACAGAAACTGTTCCATTCGCCAGACTAAAGCAATCGATCATTCTCACAGTTCTGACTGTCTTTCGACACGAGACTAAAGCAATCGATATGGTCGCTTCTGTGTTTGCCGTCTTGTTAAGTTTTACTTATTTAACATACAATGTGTGTGAGGAGTCGTTAATGAATTCAATATCGAATTCCGGTGATTTGCCGCTAAAATGCCTGAAACCAGACTGCGTATTCGTCTGATATGGTGCATATCAAGCACGATCAATGACTAATCTGAAATATTTAAAATGGAAATCGTGACCGTGAGACGTGACAGCTAGAAAGCTGTTGTGGATTTTACATTGCTCTTGCTCACGACGCACCGCGTGAATAAAGCTCGTTTTAATTTTGAGTCCTGTCACTCTAAAAGACTCTTGTCAGAAATTGGATTTGAACCCACGTCCCCCGGCCATTCTGACAAGAAGATAGCCTTGGAATGATAAAATATGATTATAATTCCATATTTTATTGTACAGACTTTTTTTGTTGTAAACTATAGCCTAATTGTCTCAAAAACAGATTTTATTTATATTTTTAAAATCTCTCGTTTAGAAATGGCAAGTCAAGTGATCATTGATATGTGTCTGATTTGTAAACTGAACACACACAAGCTATATTGTTAAAGTCATTTAAACGTATATGTAAGGTCTTTTTTATTTCGAATATCTAAAATGTATTGTCAGAAGTGGGATTTGAACCCACGCCTCCATTCGGAGACCAGAAACCTCATCACCTGAGAAGGATGAAAGCCTTGAGTCTGGCGCCTTAGACCGCTCGGCCATCCTGACACTAGAAAACATCAGCACTGAAATGCACTCCAACAGGCACTAATAGCCCTAGTGGTAATTTGCACTTTTATTACCTAGATGATTTTTAAATAAAATATAGATAAATAAACATACAATTCTTACTGTCAAATTGCTTCACAATTATAATCTGAGCATATTTGTATTGTCTCAGAAACATCTTCTTACTATGCTTTCATATTTTTCTTTCTTTCAAATGCTAATTTTCAAATTCCATTAATGTTTTATTGCTTTACCCTTCTCCCAAACCCAGTCTTTCAATGATCGATGATTAACTGTCATTAGTCAAGTCAATCAAATTCAAATGTATTATTTAGCTCTTTTCCCAATACACATAGTTTCAATTGGTTTCAATTGTCTCAAACAGCGTTTCAGCAGCTTTACAAAAATCAATGCTTGTTTCAGTGTTACACTTTCTGAAGTAATCTGTTATCAGTCAGAGATGAGTGTATCAAATTGATGTCCATGTGGTAGTAATATAATACAGCTATATATAATACGTTATGTGGTTAGTCCAGTTTAAATGTAAAATTTACGCCGGTTGCAATAGAGGCAGAATGTAGTGCATTTTTGCCTGTTCTTATTTTGCAGCAATATCTTTGACAGTCCACAAGATGGAGCTGGAGCAATGTTCACCTCAGTTTGGATTTGGTTTACCACTTTTGTAATCTATTATAAATGTGTCTCTGGACTGAAATAGATCAGATCTCCAGCACCAGTGAAACATGAGTTGATAAAGATCAAACAGGATTTGTGAGAGTATTGCTGCCAGCCAACATTGGGATTAATTGTTTCAATCAAGTTAATGGCTGCACACCCAGTGGTTAAACATATGCATTGCTATTGGCTGAGAACAAAACACAATCCTCAGAATCAGCTCCATATATTTATGACATATAATAATGACACATGTTGCTTTTGCATTTATACAAAACACTACATCAGAAGATTAACATTAATTTATATTAAAAAAAAATGGTTTGGAACCAGGTCATTTTATTTAATGTATATGGAACTTCCACAGTAATATTAATAATTATGTTTTTTCCCCCTATCTCATGGTAATTGCATTATATAATCACTTCCATCTAGCTGTAAAACTACATTCAGGGCTTCAGGAGGAACACCCCAGCACTCCCCCTTTCTCCATCATGAGCAGCACTGTGGAAGCAGTGGAGTTAGGCACCACCATCTCTCAGGACCTGAGGTGGGACAATCACATGACTTCATTGTGAAAAAGGCCCATCAGAGGTTGTAATTCCTTCGCCTACTGAGGAAGTTCAACCTGCCACAGGGGCTGCTGACACAGTTGTCAGCCATCATTGAGTCTGTCCTGTGTTCATCTATAACTGTCTGGTTTGGTTCATCCACCAATCAGACATCAGGAGACTACAACAGACAGTCCGGACTGCTGAGAGGATTATTGGTCCCCCCATGCCCACCCTCCAGGACTCTTCCAGAGTGAGGAAAAGGGCAGGTAAAATCATCGGAGGCTCCACTCACCCCGGCCACCTGTTTGAACTGTTGCCTTCAGATCAGGCAATATCACATTTGTTTTGTGCAATATCCTTGTACATTTATTTAGTCCTATTTATTCATATTATTATTCACAATACTGTAAATATTTTTTAGCTGTAAATGTTTATTCTGACTAAAACTATGTTTTTATTCTTAAATATTGTGCCTTGTTATATTTATATGTATGTGTGGACTGGAAGCTTCAATACCAAGGTAAATTCATTGTGTGTGCAAGCACACTTGGCAATTAAGCTCTTTCTGACTCTGAAAGTTCCCTCTTTATGATATTTGTCAGTCCAAAACATCTTTGTAAATATATAAAATGTAAAAATGAATGAAAAAAATTGTTTCATTACATAAACTCATGACTAGTCAATATTCAGCCTAAAACGTTTGAGTACATGTTTCTTGTGACAATTTTATTTGTCGAGATCACATCCATTCGGTGGCTGCCCGGCAGATGCCGTCATGACGCAGGACTTCCAGCACGTTGACGTGATGATACGTTCCACCAATCAGCGGGAGTTTCCGAAGCCCAGCCAGGAAAGGAGCAGATGATATGGCAGCTTTGTGAGCGGCCAGGTGGAACTCGCTTTTGTTTAATCGGGCTGACAGCGGAACATGAGTACAGTTTAACCCGCACGCCGCAGCGGGGGATCCGAAAATGATATACCTGATATTAATTTCTGCCTTCTCCGGGGCCATCGTCACGCTCCTTCTGCAGCTCTTACTGGTGTACCGGAGGAGCCCCGAGCCTGTCGCTAGGACAGTTCAATATGTCAAAGCAGTTTCTGATCCCGCACTGAGGGATTACTTTAGCAACCAACAATGCGAATCAACGCAGCTACAACCGGATATCACATCGTCTGCCTCCAAACAACCGGAGGCCGCTTCTCCAAAGCAGCAAGAGACCACCGTCCCCGGCAGCAGCCCCAAACAACAGCCGTCTTCGCCACCGCCTTCCCTGAGCGACTTTCAGCACGCCTCCAAAGCAGAGACATGCGATTTCCTCAATGCCATATTTCTGTTTTTATTCCGCGAGCTCCGAGACACCCCCGTCGTCAGGCACTGGATCACTAAAAAGATCAAGGTAGAGTTTGAGGAGCTCCTCCTGACCAAGACCGCCGGGCGTCTGCTGGAGGGGCTCAGTCTGCGAGATATCTCCTTGGGCAACTCGGTTCCCGTTTTCAAAACAGCCAGACTCATGAAACCCGTGGCTCTCAATGAAGACAACATGCCAGAGGAGCTCAATTTCGAGGTTGACTTAGAATATAACGGCGGCTTTCATCTGGCCATTGATGTCGATTTAGTATTCGGTAAATCGGCTTATCTGTTTGTGAAGATGACCCGGGTGGCGGGCCGCCTGAAGCTGCAGTTCACCCGCATGCCTTTCACGCACTGGTCCTTCTCCTTCCTGGAGGACCCGCTCATAGACTTCGAGGTGAAGTCTCAATTTGAGGGCCGTCCACTGCCCCAGCTCACCTCCATCATAGTCAACCAGCTCAAGAGAGTTATCAAGAAGAAGCACACTTTACCGAACTACAAGATAAGGTAATGTCTAAGTGTGTTCATGCTGTCCCTTGCCTCTTTGACATGACCGTGACGTTCATCTGTGGTCTCAGGTCCATCAGCTACGGCTGGACAGTCTCAGTTAGGTGTCTTGAAGACGAATTATTTCCCTGAATTCAGGTTATTATTATCTATCTATCTATCTATCTATCTATCTATCTATCTATCTATCTATCTATCTATCTATCTATCTATCTATCTATCTATCTATAATCAACTTTTTTAAAAGCAGCAGCAATAATAAAATCAGTAAAAGATATGTCATGCAATTCCTTAGCAGTCTTTTGTATTTGTTTTTTTAGTTGTTTTTTTAGCATTGCTTTGGAGAGGTTGTGAAACTGGTAGTGTGTGTTCATGTGTGTTCATGTCTGAATGGGGTTGTGAAAAGTGAACAGACAAAAGTACAGTGGCACTGCAATAAGAGACTTCTGAGGTGATTGGTAAGGTCATGTGATGACAACAGCAAGTGTGTTGAGGGTGTGAGTGAAACTGGAAATGGAGGCCTCCTTTTGTTGCAATTTCTCTTTACTGTGGTCACATTCCTGACTGTTAAAAGTGAAACAACTTCGAGATTGAGTTACTTCCTGTTTTTATCTGATAAAAATACAAGGTCTGTGACTAAGGCGTTCAACAAATCTGTGGATTGATTGCTTGCTGTATTCATCCACACCTCATTGCTCTCTATTACTCAACATTACTTGGCATACCTAACACGTTTGGTTGCCAATAAACATTAAGACATCTCAGCAAGTGCGTGTGGTTTGACTTTCTCAGCTGTTTTAGGTTCTTTCGGTTTAACATTGTCTTTGTAAATCAGGTTCACAAAATGGTCTGATGTTGTTTTTTTGGCTCATCAGTCAAACTGCTCATCTTTATGTTGACATACTGTGTCTGTGTACAGTCAATATGAACATAATGTTCAAATTACAAAGTCAAACAACACTGCACCACACAGTGATTTTATCCATTAAGTTAAAGCTGCAGTCCGTATCTTTTCCTCTTTGTCGCCATCTCTCTGTTCGAAATCTGTAACTGCAGTGATTCGCGGAATTATCATCTTTTCGTGGGTTGTAAATCGGCATGAAACAGCGCGGATGAACACAGTGCTTTGAGGCGAGT